TTCCAGATGGATTAGATCAAACAGACACTCACTCTTATTGTTCCGGAAACTGATAACTCCAATAATAACAAAGATATACAATTACTCTGTGAAACTATCACTAATGTCTTAAGAAATGTTACTCAAGCTACTTCATGTATAAGTAATCAAGTTAAAACAGAAAAGTTCCAGAAGAAACAGTTGATGGAGAAGAACTTTCCATATTTTGACGGAAATGCCCAGGAATGGCCGCCATTTCATAAGCAATTTACTAATTTACGAAAATACTGCGGTTATTCAAACGAAGACATCATTTTGAAACCACAGCGACATCTCAAAGGTGAAGCAAAGTCTTTGATTGCTGGAATGTTACTGCTTGCTGATAATGTAGACTTAGTAATCCATACTCTACAAAGGAAATTTGGCAGACCAGAATTTATTATTGAAACCATCATCACGAAAATAAAATGTATGCCTTTCATCAGAGATAACAATTTGGAAAAGTTAATACTATTCTCAGCAGAAGTAAATAACATTGTATCCATTATGAAAACCCTAGAATCCAAGGGACATCTGCAGAATCCTCAATTAATCAAAGAACTACTCACCAAACTTCCTGAATTACTAAAATTGAGTTGGGGAGAAATTGTTTCGTCCAAAAAGGGTGATGTGACTCTGAAAATTTCTCTTCATGGTTGGAAACTATTTCTAATGCAGCTTGTTATGTTGGTTCACCTTGTAAATTCTTCAAATTTGAACATAGAACATATGAAGGTAGAAAACATGAAAGACTTCTCATTACTTCCGAAATGAAAAATAAGAAATGCAACTACTGTGACAAAAATGCCATGATAACTTTTGTCCACAGATGCAAGCTGATGATATAGATGAGCGGTGGAAAGTTGTAACTGACAAAAAGTTATGTTTTTCTTGTCTAGGAAGTAAACACCAAAAGTTAAGCGCAGATACAGAAAAGTGTGTGGCAAAAATTACTGTAAACTATATCATCATCAGTTGCTACATAAAGACCTACCTTCTAGAAATCCGGAAGTTAACTTCAATGAATCATCTATGTCTTCATTACTGCTTCAGCTGTATTAGTCTGCATTTTTTGAAATAAAGTATATTATTATTATTATTATGGAAAATAATTATGAAACAGTTTGTGCAACGAAGAATATATCAAACACCAAAATTTTATTGAGGACAATTCCAGTCAAATTATATGGACTGAATAGACATTTGTCAGTTTTGGCATTATGTGATGAAGCATCCACGGTAACGCTGTTAAGACCAGGAGATAGCTGATAAAATAGAACTTTCTGGTGTGTCGGAATCCCTTTGCCTTTAATGGGCAGATGAAAATTATTCGATACAGCAAAATTCAATGAGACTGACCTTGAAAATATCAAAAACTAATGATAAAGATAAAATATTCACTTTGAAAGGGAGTTCGAACTATTAGAAATCTGTCACTTCCAGAACAAGAAATCAGAATGGCTGATTGGAGAAAATATTCTCATTTGAAGGATATCCCAATTCAGGATATTCAACGAGAAAAACCGGTTATCTTGATTGGACAGGACAATATACATTTGATATTACCCAGACTAATACGTTGTGGATCAGATAACTTACCTGTAGCTACCAAGTGTAAATTAGGTTGGTCACTACACGGTTCAAGTCCCATCAATGTCGAAAAAGTCTTCAAAGCCCATACACTGCATGTCTGTGAGAAAACAGAAGCTGTTGACGACATTGGAAAACTCAAAAAAAAAATTTTGCAACAGTCTTTCGGAGTATTGGTAACACCAGACAAGATGATACAGGAAAAAGATATGAGATAGGTTTATTATGGAAAAATGATCATGACATCCTACCAGAAAGCAAATATATGGCCCTACAACGACAGAAATGTATGGAAAAAAATGCAGTCTCGATAAAAACTTCGCCGAAGCCTACTACCAGAAAATCAATACTTAAATAGAAAAGGGATATGTTAGAAAGCTGAAACAGGAAGAAATACTCATAGACAATCCACGTCTTTGGTACTTACCACACTTTGCTGTGAATAATCCTAATAAGCTCAATAAAATACGCCTGGTATTCGATGCAGCTGCCACCTCAAAAGGAGTCAGCTTGAATAGTAAACTTTTACCGGGACCAGATCTATTGAAATCTCTGGTTACTATCTTATGGAAATTTCGCCAACGACGATATGGATTTTGTGGTGACGTCAGAGAAATGTTTCATCAGATTCAAATTCGTGAACAAGATCGAAAGTCCCAGAGATTCCTATGGCAAAACTTAGAAAGTGAGAATGATCCAGATGAATATGAAATGACGGTTGGTGCAATTTGTTCTCCCGTATGTGCCCAGTTTGTGAAGAACTTTGAAGCTGAAAAATTTTGTTCTGGTCCCGAATTTCAGAACGCAATTATCAACAAATTTTATGTAGACGATTATTTGGATTCCAAGGATACGGAACAGGAAGAACTTCATACTATCTCAGAAGTATGCATAGTACAGAAGAAAGGAGACTTCGAAATAGTTAATTGGATGACAAACTCTCAGATTATACGAGAGTGACTTAAATCTGAAGCTGTATTGGCCCATTCAAGGATCATTGGTGAAACTTCATTCCGGACGTGTTCATGATGAAAAACCGACCAAAAGAAATGTTCTCAAGTGCATTATGTCCATGTTCGATCCAATTGGCTTAATATCAACACTTACTATACGAGGTAAAATATTGATGCAGAAGATGTGGCGTTCTGGAATCTCCTGGGGTAGTTTTTCACTGGAAGAATTGATCAAGCCTTGGCAAAGATGGATGAAAGATCTGAGGAAAGTAGCGGACTACAAAATACCAAGACATTACAGTTTTCTGATCCCCGGAGCAGATTGAATTGAACTCCACACCTTTTGTGATAGCAGCGAGGAGTCATTTGCCACAGTATATTATCATCGAGTATTGAAAGACGACTCCATAATTGCTGCGAAAACGAGAGTTGCACCTCTAAAGCAGCTTTCAATTTTGAGGTTAGAATTGCAAGCCGCAGTTATGGGAAGCAGACTGGCAGAGACAATTAAATTAGAACTGGAAATAACCATCAATAGAATGTATTTTTGGACAGACTCTAAATGTGTTCTGGGATGGATAAGAGCAGATGGAAGATCTTTCAAACAATTTGTTGCTCTTCGCATAGGTGAAATTCAGGAAAGAAGCAGAATTGAAGATTGGCGATGGGTACCCAGCCGACAAAATATAGCAGATTATGCTACCAGATCATCCAAAGAAACCATAATATGTGATGATTAGTTATATGGTCCCAAATTTTTTAAACAACCTGAATTTTTTGGCCGACTGAGAATTCAAAAATGACAAAAGATGAAGATCTCATGAAAGAGATGAAATCTGTAAATAGATGCTTAGTCATACAAACGTACGAAAATATTCTTCCAGGCATAAATAGATTTTCGAAATGGATAAGATTCATTCGAGCAACAGCTTGGTGCTTAAGATTCATCAATAACTTGAAGAAAACTGGAATATCAGTACTAACAGGAGTACTAACAACTAACAAAGCAGAGAAAATTTGCACAAAGAATTCTCAAAGAGTTTGTTTTCCCAGAGATATTCAAAACTTGGAATTTGGAAAACCCATCGATAAACAAAAGGATTTGGTTGGTCTCTTTCCTACTCTGAACAATAGTTTTTTTATTCTTGGTGGAAGGACTAATTTGGGAACTTGTAAGCAAGAATTCACGAGGCATCCTGTGATCCTCAGTCCAAAACATCGGTACACAAGCTTGCTGATTCAACATTTTCATGAAAAGTTCAATCACACTGGAGTGGAAACCGTACTGAATGAACTCCGGTAGACATTTTGGATTATTAACGGAAGATCCGAATTTTTGGGAGATGTCTCAAATGTAAAATAAATAAAAGTAAACCACAACCTCCATTGATGGGTCAACTTCCTGAAGTAAGACTGACGAGAGGGCTCAGACCATTAGAGAATGTTTGCATGGATTATTTTGGCCCCTTCTCTCTCAAAATTGGTAGAAGACGGGAGAAACGCTGGGGTGTGATATTCACCTGCCTAGCAGTGAGGGCAATTCATCTTGAAGAATGTCGGCAAGAAGAGGATGTCCTCGAACAATCTATTGCGACAATGGAACTAATTTGAGAGGCATATCCAGAGAAACAAAAGAAGCCATGCAAAACATTGACATGCCTTCAATAAAAAATTCAATGTCTTCGAAAGACATCAACTTCAAATTCCTACCACCGGCTTCCCACACATGTCAGGAGTATGGGAAAGGTTGATTGGAAGTGTGAAAAGAGTCATAGATGTGCATCCAGGTACAGATGGACGAGTTAGGGTGGTAGACGTCAAGACAGCGTATTCAGAATGTCGACGGCCAGTAACTGAGATCTGCAAATTGGAACTAGAAGACTGAGTTGATTCTTCTAGCGGGGGGAGAAATGTTGATTATTTGATTTGATTATTTGATTAGTTTCGAGTTATTTATTTATTTTCTTGAGTTTATTACCGTTGAATTATTGTTGTTATGATGTTGTTGAAAAGAAAGAGTTTTTTATGTGAAATTTGACATTGTCAATAAAATAATTGTCCTGACTAAAAGTGGATATTTTTTGTCACGAGAATTTGATACGAAATAACAATGAGTTTACGAGCATTTCAAGACTTTATTGTATATTGTTAATTTTTTTCTCAAATCAGGTATCCCGAATTTTTTTTCCGCTTATTCACGGTCGTTTCCATCTCAATTTCTTGTAAGTTCCTAATTAGCACTTTACTACCACGTTTAGTTTACACCTGATTGAGCAATCGCCCTTGTTTTTGAAAGACCTGATATTTAGATCTGTTATTTAGCGAAATTGGAAGCTGTTGTTTATTAATTAGAAAATCTCAAGATCCTCACCGTTTAGCACTTCATCTATATTCTCATTTATAATCTCAATAATCAAGCTACAATCAAAAACTATGTGAATTGTTTGAATATTTATTTAAAGATATTCCTAAATACTACTCTACTTCATATAAGAAAACTTGAGAAAACATTTATAATCTCAAGAATCAAGCCACAATCAAAAACTATGTGAATTGGTTAAATATTTATTTAAAGATATTCCTAAATACTACTGTAAATAAGCATATTGAGAATCACACTTACCTAAGACAACAGGTAATCAATTTTGTCAATTACGTCACAAAATATGAATATAAAATACAAATTGAACAATTACATCTTCAAAAAATTTTTTTAATCTTTCTTTTCCTTTTAGATGTTCTACACCCTTGTCATCCATTAAATTCTAATTTTCCCACAATTTCACGTACAGTTTTCAAAAGAGTAGCATCATGACTACTATTCTCTAGTAGAATTGAATGCAAGTTTGTCATATAATTGTCTATATTTTGAAGGGTTGCTACTTCTTTTATTCCTGAAAAGACAATGAATTACTTTCACTATTCATAGAGAGAAAAACTTCAAACTATGCAGGTCGGGAAAAGGAAATATGATGAATGAAAATTAGCTCATGGTTTGAATAATGGAATAGAAAAAGACTGAACAATTTGAAGTTTCATAATTAATTTCTGGAAAACATTTTAAATTTGGATGATTTATTAAATAATTATACTTGAGAGGCATAATGACTTACCAGGCAATTTTACTCCTCCAAAACCACTGGTCAGAGTATTTCTCAAATGATTCAAATGTTTTTGAAGAGATGCATTATTTTTCTCTTGTTGCATTATCTCCGTTTCTAATTTTGTAATAGCTACTTTCATATTCTCTATATGTTTGGAAAGGATGGCATTTTGTTGTTCATAATCTGTATTTATTTTCCGCAAAGACCGTAACTCAGTGTCTCTTCTTTTATTATGATCCAGAAATTCTTCGGTGAAAATAGGAATATCCAAATTTGTGAAGTCCATATCTTGCAAGTCTTTCGTTTGTACTGTTGGCGTGTGAGGAACAATCTTGAAAAGATAAATTCAAGTTACAGTGGTTATAAACACCAGAATAGATATCTAAGAGCTATCTTGAGAGTTCTGCAAAGAGTTCTCAAATTGGAGAAAGCAGAAATGGCAACAAGAATAAGAAACACTTTGTCAATAGCACTTTTCCCACACCAGATCTACAATTTTAATAAAAATCAGTTCAAATCAGAAATATTTTTGGAAATTTGTACTGTACTGCAAAAAAATGAAATATTGAAATGTCAAACATACTGGTGCAGGAGTTTTAACAGTTTCATCCCTTTCTTTAACTTTTTTATCAACTTGTTGTTCTTTGAATAACTTATATGCTTCAGTTTGTTTATACGCATTATATTCTCTAGTATAACGTTCTCTGTCTTGTTCAGCTGCATCTAAATATTGTTGCTTTTTATCAGCTGGTAGTGTGCTCCATTCACTTGCTAGCATTTTTGTTATTTCAGCAAAAGACAAATTAGGATTTGTTGCTCTTACTACTTCTCTCCGATCATTCAAATATCTGACATAACCTATGAAATATAGAATACAGTTATAAAAAACATTAGTCGAATGTTATCAAAAAACCTGTAAGGGGTACTCTAGGTGCAGTAGAATCTTTTACTTTCTTGCGTTTTTTTCCTTTGGGTTTTGAAGTATTTTCTGAACTATCAGGAGTTTTCTCTTCAGTTGTCACATTGGCTTCTTTAGGAGTCAAAGAAGACTGTACTGATATTTCAGAAGTGTCTGTTGTACTTTCCATTTAACTTTCTTTCAACAACAAAGATCTCAGAAATATGCAGATTATCTGTATTTGATAAAGCTTGACCAACTGCAAATCAACAATAACCTTACTATTCTGTAACAATAACATAAAATTCATAAGTCATAAATGATGAAAAACAATAGCACTGTACAGTGGCACAGAACACCTAGGGTGTTCTGTGACAGTAGTGACTTGAGAAAAGAGAAGAAATTAGTTTATAATGATTCCATTCTAGTTGGCAGGGAAGCCAACATTTTTATTTTTCCTCGTATAAATCTCAAAATTGGGAAGAATTTCTACCGATGATGGCGAGGCTCAAAAAGAGAGAAGAGTAACGTTAATAGGTAATTCAGGGCGTCATCTACTTTTCAACTACAGGAAAAACCTTGGGAATAAATTTGACTCCACCTTGACAAGAACGTTTTTCCATGTCTTCTGGTTTACAAAAGATGTATTCGGGTTCGCAAAATAGCAAAGCTTTTTATTGAGAGTGAAATGATAGAGCAAATCTTTCTGAGTCTCCACTGAACCTTGCAGTACCGACCAAAGCCAAAATGATAATAGCCTGGATTGAAACTTGAATGGAGGTCGAGAACCACTGTTTACAATTTCCAACAAAATATTTTTGTCAATGCTCCAAAATTTCACTTGAACGAAGCGAAGTATGATGGTATTTGAACTATTTCAACTTGAAAAAATGAAACTTACGAAACAGGTAATAAGTTCAATCTATTTATTGCTTCGAGGTGTCACATCCACCTCAAAGCAGGACCGACGTCATCTTATTGTTTTTTTATGATTTCGTCTATGGCTTGTTACTTTCCTTACATCTTGTCTTTTATAGTACCCATTTCTTTTTATAATATTTATCAACGATTCACCACATATTTTTGCCACAACAATGGATACTAGTGGTGAAACAAGAGACTTGGCATTAATATCAATAGAGAAAAGTGAAAGAATATCCAGTTGCACTTCTCAAGAAACGTGTCAAGAAACATCCAATCTATGGATGAGACAGATTCATTCAAACATGGTTTCTTATCATCCAAAAGAGTGCTGTTGTATGTGCTCATACTAAACATTTTTGTGAACCAACTAAGATGATTGATTTGAATTTTTATTATCCTTTTTAGTCACTTTATAATCCTTGCTAAAATTAGAAGTTACTCAAAAAATACTAAAATCGCGTATTATGATATTGATATTTCGTACCGTGTAATTAATTCTTCAGTGATGCCATTATTTAAAATTTTCAACATGTGATATTGTTTAAACACTATATGTGATATATTTAACCAGTATTATCTTATAACATAACCATGTGGAGTTTTTGGATTCTTCTGAACATATTTCAAATCTACAAAATCCACCAAAAACACTTTTTCCAAAAAATAAATAAAACTTTCCAAATATTCACAAACTTAACAAAAACGGGAATCGAATAATTCCTACTTTTTTGGTACTTTTATCTTTTTCACTAAATATTCACGTTGGTTCACCTGATAACAAGGATGGAATAATGATTTTACCTCAAATGCATAGAAAAATTTAAAGAATTTTCTAAAATCATTATCAACTTCAAAAGTGCACAGGTGGTTAATGCCGGTCACCTCTGACCGGTATTACCAGTATACAATTCCTGTTATCCAAAAACATTGAGTCATTGAGATTTATGTTCAGTAAAACATTAGATGACTGTTAGGAAACAGTGTAGATAGAGAAGATGGTCCAATTTTCACACCATGCCAGGTCACCATCAGTGACCAGTGATATATAAGCATCCAAATACATTTTAATTCAAGGAAAATTAGAAAATATACAAAATCAATTTAATAACAACCCCCTTAGGGGTTTCTAAAAATTGCCTTAGCACACGGTATTCGGTATTTCACGTGCACGTGGCGGGATAGGTATTGGTTAAAGTTTTCAACTAGTAATCATCGCACTTCGGATAAACCCTATCGGTTACGATATCGCCTCTGCGCAGAACTGATTTGTTTCTCCTCCATGCCCCCAGCAGGGTCGAGTGACCTGATATAGAATCTTCCCCACACGGTTACTGTGTGCAGATGCTAGAATCTCGTCCATCTACCCTTAGTCATCCCTGAGTGAACCTCAACCTACTGATGGGCACTTCAGCAAGATTGACATCTGACCTCCTTTTTTTCAGTTTTTTTAAGGACAAAACACAAGCACTACAAGAAAATTCTTAAGGCGTTCTCAGAGCGGTGCCTGTGCGAAAGTAGCGATTCATATTGGATTTGAATCGCCGGAGATTAAATCCATTTGGACAAACGTTCTCAGAAAGTTTATTCTACATAAACTCAGTTCTCCAGTTTTTGAACAGTGAAGTTCGAGGTGTACTGAGTTGAACCTCAAAACGATGAGTAGCTACAGTCCGCCGCGTATTTCTGATATGTACCGCTCTTGGTGGAGTCAAATGTGCCACGGCACTTGAACACATCCCGTGAAAGTATCTATAGAAGAGAGACAAATCTTCAACCTTTCTTCGATGTTCCAGGCTATCAAGGTTGCACGTGATATTCGCGTCTCTAATTAGGCGGATGGCTCTTTTCTGAATGGAATATAGCAACTTCAGGGTATGTTTGGGGTCAGAGCTCCATACATGAGTACAATACTCCAAAAAAGGTCTGATTTGAGCTCTATAAAGCATCAAAAGTTGCTGAGGTGTGTACAGTTTTCTGGTTCGGAACAGTGTTCCAAGCTTTTGAAAAGAAGCCTATTATGAATCCTATTATCAATTCGGTATAAATCTGTAAACTAAACATTGGAAGAGATAAAAAAAACTGCTATAAGAACATATACTCTCGCTGAATATATTCAATTCACCTGAAGGAGTCATCTCTACTAACATTTAGGTATCCAAAACTCCAAAATCAAATACAACCCAAAATTCAAATCCCCAGGCCGCCAAACGTACTCATTCAACAACCATTTTTAATATAACAAACGATATCGAGAGTCAGAGTGTAATTTAGGGTGTCGGAATCGGTCACGCTTACTTGCGATAGTCATTCTAGTCATAAAATAGTTAACATTCAGATTGTTTCATGACACCACACGAAAGCTATTCTCTTTTAAATGAAAGCTTTAGGTTCGGAGGATTTTACCTTTTTGCTACGCTGTCAACTCCTACCAATAACTCACCACAATCATCCAAAAATGTAAAATTCCTTGGTTTATCCACGTTTTGCTAATTAAAACTTGGCAAGCACCCACATCAGACGCTCAATCAAGTCATTTTAGTATTTTTCTTTGAAATTATTTCATAAAAGCATCATATGCTTTGGTTTATACCTTGTATGAAGTCATACATACGTAGAATGAAAGTCAGGGTTGAAATATTGATTTGTGCAAAACTGGAAAATTGTTCAAACTTCAAACACATGTATCTCTCAATCGAAATATTGCACAGTATTACTATTATTATTGTCACATTTCTTCATATTATTATGACTCGGAAATTTTATTATCCGTTTAACGTTCAAACAGCGCTCAAATTTGTAATGCTTGGCTATTATCAGTATACATGACCAACTTCGTTATCGTTTACGAATAGTTTCAGAGAAGAGGGGAGACAAGGTCGGAACTCCTTTCTACAATATTGACAGATAGTGGAGAGAAATAAATGGAGAAATAAAATGAAAAAGTTATATTTTGATAATAAGTACCTACTACTAACATAAGCTATTACATTTCAATAGCTAATATAGAAGAACTAAATTTTTCTCTTCGACTTAGTGTTTCTGATTAAGTTCTGATATTCTTCAAAAGTGACTACTTGACCATCCTTGATAATTCTCAATTCATCAGCACATACCAAAGGATTGATATGCGGGTTATGAATCTCAGCAATTTGAGTGGAAGAAGCTGCTGCTGAGTCACCACTGCTACCCAATTTTCCAATCCAGTACTCATTTCCAGGTAGAGCGTTACCATCCCAAGCATATGACACAACTAATAATTTTTCTGAAACAAAGATGATCATCTATGAAATTGATAAATCACGAATTTGAATTAAGTACCTGATTCAGAAATCAATAATATCTAAAGATACTTATGAAAATTATGATGAGGAAGCCAATGTATATACATCTTTGGAATCTTGAGTTGAAAGTATTAGCATACGTTTTCGAAACAACAGGAGTCGGTACATTCTGTAATCACTTTTGAGAAGATCAAATTTGTTATTTCATTTGAGTTCTATATCAATAGTTTATAGATTGAAAGAAAGGTGGAGAACCAGTATCGACTATGCTTTGATCTAGATCACTTTTTTTATTCACGATTCTGTAGCTGAATTTTCTCAGCTACTTAATTCGATGATCCATCGATCCGGAAAGTTTTCCGATTGGTGCAATACAATTTTTTTATTGACGGAAAACATACTTCTTATGTCGGAAGACGAGAATAGATTTAGACACGTATAATAACCAAGGTCGGTGCATTCTGTAACTCAGAGAAATTCAGTACTGTTTTCCCATTTTCAAAGTAATTTTTTTTGAACTTATATTTCCAAATTGAGATATAACAAATTGGCGCAGTCCACGGTAGGATCCTTCAATATATAATAAAGAAAATACTTTTGTCTAGTTTTTACTGTGTTTATTTATATTATAAGGCCATTTTCAAGTAACTCAGTTACTTGAAAATGACCGAAACCGGTCGTAACGAATAAATAAACACAGTAGATAGAAACTAGACAAAAGTATTTTCTTTATTCTATATTCAACATGAATTTCTACAAAATAAATAAGTGATCAATCGAACGAGGATCCTTCAACACTAGACGGAACAAGGAGCAGTCTAATCGATAATGGTGGATCCCAATCCAACAACCCCAGACCAACGGTTTCTTCAACGGCGGAAAAACATGCGCACGCTAACTTCTCTCGGAGCTTGTGAAGCAGGATTTTATCCTCTATGGACAACCTTTGGTGATTAAAAAAGAATCATCACAACTTTTTCATATTTTTGAATCTGAATATTTATTTATAAGTCAAAAACCAGTTCTATCGTCAAACATCATGGCAAACGCAAACCCTGTACTCAAACTTGAGCCTTACATACTCCATGAAATTTTTTCAATCATACCTGAGTACGATGGAGATCAAATCTTCATCAATACATTTTTACATGCTTGTAATACTGCTTACCGCATGGCTGTTCAATATAAAAAAATTGGTAACATTACATAACAAAAATAAATTAAAAGGTATAGCAGCAGAACTCATCAGTTTTAGAAACACTCAAACATGGGATGAAATTAAATGACTGTTATTCCAATATTTTGGTGACACACGTGATTTAGCCTCTCAAATACAAGACCATCAAAGAATTCATCAAATGCTCAATGAGTCCCCTATAAAATTCGTAAACAGAGTTCAAGCCCACGATGCAAAAATGTACGCGGTGATTCAAAAACAACATAATCTAACTGAAACCATGACTCTAAATACTATCTTGGAAGGTTTAGAACCAATCATAGGACAAATAGTAAGAGCCGGAAACACAGCTTCCATGCTCGAAGCTGTTCAAAGAGTAAAACGAGAGCTACAACTCTCACTCTCATATTTCCATCAACAAAAATTACACAAAAATGCAAATACCATCCAGCACAAAAAACCACAACCCTCCATTCAACAATAATTTTGCAATCTCCGTAAAAGACAGGAACACAGTCAAAACGAATGTAAAGTAAGATCACAAAATCCCCAAGCCACACAAAATTTCCCAAAACAAAATTTTCAATTCCAAAATGTTCAAAGACCACCAAACCCGCAATTCAAAAATTTCAGGCAGAATTTTAACAAAACAAATACACAGAAAGCACATCATCTCAACCCGTAAGATTTCGATAATTATACAGCTAATTATGAAGAAAACCAAAACTTTGAAGAATTTCACGAACATTCTTATGACTATGAAGCGGAAGACTATACTGCTAGGTATCCGGAATACCAGAATACGAACTTCTCGTATTACCCATCAAATCAACCGAATCAGGATTTTTAAATGGATCCTTTACAACCAGATCCTTTCCCTATCGAAGAAATCCAAACTCATATTCAAACCCTGAATATAAACGATTTGATCCCCAATTTGAATTTCCCAGAATAGAAATTCATGTAGGACAATCTCTCATGGTCAATTCAAAAAATGTATACTACATTATGGACGCTACCAAAATATTCAAAATATTAATCGACACAGAAGCTGGACTTTTTTCTTGACATAGAATTCGACGGACTTTTTGGAGCTGATTTTTTAGAACACTATAATGGGGTCGTTGATATAAAAATCAAAAAATTACTGACATATTTCAAAACGGCACCACTCTTCAAAGCATCGGACGATGAAAACAGAAATTGACGACAATTTCGAATACGACCCTGACAATTACGCCTTCGAAAGTAAATTCAATTATCACCAAAACTCAAAAGATGAAATTCCAAATAATACCATAAACATAGAGCCTCGAATTGAAATAATTTTCAAATTGAAATGCAACCTATCGAACACTGATGCTATACTGGTAGCACAAAACAAAGAAAACTATGGCTAGTAATTCTCGTTCAAATGTAGAATACTTAGATTCTGCTGAACAGAGGGTTCGTGAAATTCGATTACCAAATCATAAATTCGAATGCTATAGCCAAAACAATAAATTTTTCTGACATAAACATCGAACCTATTCAAAATTTCTCTTTGAATCATTTAAACGAAACAGAAACAGAACAAAATCAAATTACGTTTAGATCATTTAAACGAGGAAGAATCTAAACTAATAACAGAAACATGTTCAGAATTTTTGGACATTTTCTATCTGGAAGGTGATCGATTAACGTTCATAAACGAAATAAAACATTCGATAGATACAAAAGACGCAAAAGCTGTCTTTACAAAATCATACTGCTACCCCCAAATCAACTTGGCAAATGTCAATACTTCACAATCCTTGACCTTGCTTCTGCTTTTCATCAGATCGAAATCGATGACACGGACATCCTAAAAACGGCTTTCACGGTAGAAAACGGTCATTATGAGTTTCTCAGAATGATCTTTGGCCTCAAGAATGCCCCATCAACGTTTCAAAGAGTGATGGATTACATTCTTCTCGGAATCCAAAATGAGCGATTACATGGACGTTTACATGGACGACATCATCATTTACTCACCTACCATTCACGTCTACATATTCAGACTAAAATAAGTATTCAATAGACTTCGTCAAGCTAATTTCAAAATACAACCAGATAAGGGTGAATTCCTTAGAAAAGAAGTAGTATACCTTGGCCATTCAATCACAAAAATAGAGTAAAACCAAACCCCAACAAAGTCGATTGTAAACTTCCCAGAACCTAAGAACCAGAATGAAATAAAACCCTTCCTTGGTTTAGCAGGATATTACAGAAGATTCATTCCAAATTTTGCAAAAATACGAAAACCCCTTACAAAAGTACTTCAAAGAGACACTCCTTTTCATTTTTGGAAAATATTGTAAGAAATCATTCGAAGAATTGAAACAAACTGGTTTCGACCCCAATATTAATATACCCAAATTTCGAAGAAACTTTCTTATTAATAACAAATACTAGCGCATATGCTATTGGAGCTGTACTATCTCAAGGCTCCATTGAAAAATATTTTCCCATCGCATACGTTTCACGAACCCTCTGTTCAGCAGAATCTAAGTATTCTACAATTGAACGAGAATTACTAGCCATAGTATGGGCATTCAAATATTTCAGACTCTACATGGCTAGTAATCTTCGTTCAATTGTAGAATACTTACCTCTTTGGCGAGGCATAGCCGACTCAGGAAACATATGAGCAACATGTGTTAGGAATCACACATTAAAAGGTGAGATCTCGTTAGTCCTTGGCTCGCACAAGTTTCTCAACTTCTGAGAGTTGTCGTTCGTATGGGGGCGACAGCTGATTAACGGGAAAACATATTTTTTTTTAAACATGGATCTGACAGAAGAAACCCAATGCAGGTTCTGTCAAGAAGATAAAGAAACCGCACTGCAAGTGCACTTCGGACTTAAATTTAAATTAATTACAGATCATAGACCACTCACTTGATTATTTTCAATAAAAGACCCTTGCAGCAGACTTGCTAGAATGCACTGTTTGGAACCTTTGGTGTGGTGATGAATATTACTGAACTTTCAACCCAACACTAAACCGTTATTTTCAACACCTTGATGAGTGATCATCTTCAAGAGGAATATTGAACTTAAAACCTTCCTCTTGAAGTTGATCACTTGGTGATTGAAACACGCGTCGAGGTGTTAAACATAATGGTTTGGTGATGGTTGAAACTCCAGTAATATTCAATCCACCTTCAGTTAGATAGGTACATTTTTGTGATAAAAAATTTTTGGTTGAAGGCCCAGCTCTATACCCTTCGGTATAGAGCTGGGCACACTTCTACTGTACCAGTTCCCCGCTATGAGTGTTGTTTACAACCGTCGAAATTTCATCTTTTGTATTCACTAAACTGCAGGTCATGACGAATTTTGCACAATTTTTGGGTTATCCTTCATCACAAAAATCGATTGCTATCTGGTTACCTAGATTTTTCAAAACCATTCAGATGTATTTTCCAGATGTATTGAATGTAATAATACCTTGCGATACTTTTTCATGGGGATTTCTCTTTGAAATATGAATCTTGACTCCACGAAGAGGATGTCCTCCGATATTGAATATATCACCATGCTTATAGCATCCACATTTTTCTTGATTTATATATGAGAAACATATATCACTCACAGAATGGAGCTTTTGCCCCAGAGCCCTAAAACAATATACAACATTTACAGCTACCCAATTATTTTTCATATGCTTTTATCTACCATCTTTCACAATCTGAAAATCTTATCTATTCAGAAACGTTACTACTCTAAAATAAAACAATCTGCTATTTGCTCACAGCAAAGTAGGTCTATAATCAGAAAAACTTATCTTTTTGAGAAATATAATATTTCAAGAACCAAATGCCACACTTTCTTTAAAATGAAATGAATCACTATTTGAAAAGAATATAGATAAAAGATGACTCAATAATGTTAGAGATGATATTTAGGTTTTTTTAATCTATCAAATTGAATAGATTTTCTTATAACATCACACCTTTAATTTTGAAATTGTGAAGATCATGATCCTCAAAAAATCAACCAAAAAATAACTGTATAAAATTTATTTAGTTACTTACATGATCCTTTTAGCAAAAGCTTCCATGAATTCTTTCTCCTGATGGGGTGATATTCTCCAAACCCCTAATCCCAATCCTACAACATGAATGAAAGCAGTTTTTCCTACAGCTCTAGCTCTGTGATTTGCTTCCACCAATAACGTATCAATGGAAATAGTTAGTCTTTTGTAGTAATAGTTATTGTCGAAAATTGAACCGTCTCCCAAAACCGTATATCTCACATTATCTCTATTTTTGAGTTTCAATGTTTCTTCGTAATCTAAACAGGCTTCCTCATAAAACTCAGAAAATAGTTTATGCACGCTGGTATTTACGTTGGTACCATATCCGTTTTGTTTTGTATTTTGTTTTTTACTGGCAACAATCTCTTGATATTCCATGACTTCTTTTTTCTTCAGTCTTGGACCAATCACTCCAATTATAACACCCTCATCTGCAATGTTATCTCTATTGTCTGCCCGTTTCGCAAAATTTTTTCTATCTCCCTTATTTAAACAGTACGTGTATGAACTAACTGACAGAAACACAGCTAATTTTATTTCATCATAAGATATACATTGTTCAATTATGAGTGGAGGCGATTCTTTATCAGTACCTATCAATTCCCAATTTTTTGCTCCACTTTGTTTATTCAAAAGTAAGAACTTATCAGTGGGTCCCATGAAGTTTACAGCACGTTTGACCAACAGCCTGTTTATGAAATTTTTAAGTGTCATGTGTTTAAAGAGACTCTTTTCTTTTGTCGTTCCATACTTTCTTTTGAATAGAATAAATTTGCAATAGAGCTCCAGGGCATTCTCGTGAATAACAGGATACACAGAGTTTATATTTCTTTCTAAAATCTCTTCTGTTACGACATTTTTCAATGTTTTACATCTGCCAGTATCAACAGGAAATTGTATGGGAAAATCCTCACTCTTTGCTACAATATCAGACAGAGTTACTTTGGGAATTTTGTTTATAGTGCAATATATTAGAATACTGAAAGTTTCACTGGACCATTCAGGTGATTTTGGAGACCATTCAGATGAAGTCATTATATTGCTGAAACTGAAAAAATAAATTGTTAATTAATGGTAAGGTCAGTTACTCAATTGTAGGTACCTAACACTTGGGCTAAAAAGTTTGCAGGCTAACATAGAAAAACAAATTGAAAAAAAATCATTTCATGCAATTTTGGCATCGTTTTCATTGATTTGTGACACGGTGCATTGTCTTGATGAAACAGCACTTTCTTTTTCTTCAAATGAGGCCGTTATTTTGCGATTTCGTTCTTCAAACGCTCCCATAATGCTATGTAATAGTCGCTGTTGATGGTTTTTTTCTTTTCAAGATGGTCGATGAATATTATACTATGCACATCCTAAAATACTGGTACCTTAACCTTGCTAGCCGACTGTTGCGCCTTTGCATGCTTTGGAGTCGGTTCACCACGCGTAGTCCACTCAGACGACGCTCGTTTTGATTCTGGTGTGGAATGATGGAGCCAGGTTTCATCCATTGTCACATATCGACGCATAAATTCAGTTTCTTATGGGTGTCCACTACGTGCATCGTCCTCGGTGCTCATTTGACCTCGTTCAAACGTATCGAACCATTTCTCAACGGTTGATTTTCCTAGTGCAAAGTCCGAATAATGTTTATCAAGCCAAACCTTGGCTTCAACGGTACTTTTTTTCGCCAAAAAGCAATGCTTTATCAACACACGAAAATTCCTTTCATCCATTTTCTTCAAACTAACCAAAGTTGCTTAAAATGTTCTATCCTACAAACTAATAGTCCGATAGCCGTGACACGTGTCCTTTGAAGGTTAGGGTAAACTAATGATCATAATGATTCAATACAAGTAGCGCCATTCGTGTGTTAGCCTGTGTTATTATGACTCTGGTTTTCCCGCAGTGCGAGTTATGGGAAGTCATTTGCTAATTGCATAAAGAAGTACAGTTCTTGCAGAATCTCTGCTCGTGTGTAGACTACTATTTCTTTGAATTGTTATCCTTTCTTATTGCAGATCTCGATGTGAGAAGTCTATAAATAAATGTAAAATTCTTTTGTAGTAGTAGTAGAATTTATTTTATGAATCCTACTATACAATATATAGTTATGCATATATGAAAAATTTATATACGTATATAATTTTACAGTGCGTCATGTATTACAATTTAATACATTCTAATTATAAATTTTTGAATACTTTTAAGGAATTTACAAGTTTTATTTCATCAGGTAACTTATTGAAACTATCTAGACCTTTATAGAACAATGAATTCATTCCACTCTTATAGTTTGTTCGGTATCTATAAAATGTATTAGATATTCTTGTGTTATATGAATGAATGTCACTATTTCGAACTAAATATCTGCTAAGATAGGCTGATTGTTTCCCACTCGAAATATTGAAAATAAAAATCATGCTCAACTAATACAGTCTTTTATGTACCGGCTGCCACTGTAGAGTATTCAACATAGATTCAATAAGGGTATACTGGTTGCATCTCAAAATAATTCTCTTACCTCGATTCTGTAGTTTCTGCAACTGTCTTATTTGATTTTGGTTGAATAGATACATCAGTGTGGCACAGCAGTCAAAGTGTGGCCTTATCATGCAGTTGTAACATGTTAGTCTAGCAAAGGTTGATAAAGATTTTGAAATTCTAGAGAAAACATACATTTTCTTACATATCTTTCTATTGGTATATTCGGCGTGCCCATTCAAATTTAATTGATGGTCTATAATGAATCCTAGGTACTTAATTTCATTTACAATTGTCAGTTGATTATTGAATATGCTGATATTAACGTCGTTAGTATCAATCTTTCTTTGATTCGAATTTGTTGTAACAATCATTGCCTTAGATTTATTGATATTCCATTTGAGTTTATTCACTTGTAGATATAATTCAATGTTCTTTAAAGATATATTGATATTTTGTACAGCTTCTTTTAAATCACAGTTTTAGACTGTCTAGAAACCCAGAATAGCTTTCGTTAGGCGAATGATAAATACCTCCTATTAACCATTGCTTTCCATTGATTTTAACTTCAACAAACTGAATCCAGTAGTTAGGTTCACTGACCAAAGATTTTTTTACCTTGTATTATGTTACCCTTATATGACAACCCCTCCAGTATGCCTGCTGCTACTATCACATCGAATTCCATTATAATTATCTATATATATTTCAGCATTGCTAACATCTGGAGTTGTCCTCGCTTCACTTAAAACTATCAGTGCTGGATTATAACTCACAATATTTAGAATAATATCAGTCTTATGAGCTACTAAACTTCCCACATTTACATAGACTATAGACAATATCCTGGTTACATTGTACATTCGGAACCACAGGTTTTTTCATCACTTCCATCGTGTCGTTCTACTATTGTAGGGATAGAGTTAATGTACTTGATAGTTTTCGAGTTGTCTCCTGTTTCAATAATTTCTTGAAGACTTTTTTTCACTGCTTTATAATATTCCCTTTGTTTTACCGTTTGATCCCCAAATATCTTTACTGTGTGCAGTGTTTTACTAATCTTAAGTGTTTCCTTTGCATCGGCTGGGTTTTTGAATGTTACTTTCAGAAGTCTACATTTATCTTTTGTGAACTTGCCGATTCTTTGCAGTCTTATGTTGCTGTCAGATAGTCTAACATTTTTGAGAATATTCATTACAGTTTCTTTCTCCTCGTTTAATCTTTATATATGGTTGGTCTTGGACGATTCCTTAATATTTGCTATCATAACATTCATTGCTCTCCTCTACTTCTGCTAAAAACTCCTCCATATGTATCGGATTTGAGGCAGTGATTTTGTTCGCCTCAAGATCAATTATTCGATTATTCATCATTTGCAATTCACTTCATTCTTCAACTCTATTTTCGTTTCAGCCAGTTCTTCCTTCATCACCTTCATATCCACTACTAATTTGGGCTCACTCTTCTGCCTGTCGACATTCCGCACAGAAAAAAATCAGCGATCTGTTACGGACGTTCACAGCTCTCAGTTCAAAAGCACCAAGACCAAGGCATTTTTCACTTTGGTGAAAGGGCATCAAGCAGCTATCACAGAGTATAAACTTTTCCTCTGCAATTGATTCTGAACATTTCGAGCACTTGTTATCCATTGTACCTAACCTCACTTTTCACCCCTTGTGTACATTTTTGCAGGAAATTCGAAAATAACAATTCCACTTTGGAGAAATAGGTTCCCTTATTATGTGTATGGGCAATTATTTATAGTTCCTTTTTTTGATTATTGAATCAAATAAAATCTTTTTTGAGGACGATTTTCGGCTTACTTACTAAACTAGCAATAACTTCACGATTAGTAAAATCTCAAATTCCTTTCCCCACCTTTGCCTCTAAACAAATTTCCCGATGGTATATGGACCGAAAAATAACTACGTTTTCATAAAATTGGCTGTTGCAGATGACTCTTGAATAGTATAGTGAGAAGTCTATAAATACATAATTGTAAAATTCTTTTGAAACAAATAAAATCGTTTCAGGGGACGACTTTCGGCTTCAAACTTCTAAACTAGCAATAATTTCACGAATAGTAAAATCTCGTATCATCAACGAGTATCACAAGTTTACCGAATAGATTCGCATAAAAATACGAAGGCCATTTTCCTATAAGGCCATTTTCATACTAAAACATTAAACTAAAAATGATTGATTACATTAGCCGTTATATAACACCACTGTAGGTAATAACAGAGGTACCTAACTTGATTGAGTACCTGAATTTTGTTTACCTGTGATAATGTGGATACGCTAATTTGAAAACCGGTGAGAAAACTAGATCGATTTGATCATTTAACAGGTTGAATCCACAATGTTCAACCGCAATGAATTTCCAAGAATTCCATATAATTGAGTTTGCAACCATTCCTTGCATGTGCAAAATTTCCGTATCGTTTAGATTCGGGAACTTGTGGTTGCATCCCAAGGAATGGTTTGAAAATGTCGAATCATTTTTACTTAGTCTGAAGGACCTTTCATGTTCAGCATACCGTTTTGAGAAATTTCGACCACATTGTCCCACGTGTCCCACTCAAGCTTATAAACTCCAGATTTCTCCAACTTGTCCACTTCATCTTTGGCATTGGGAAAGAAATCAGTTGAGAATTGAAACTTCCTATGTTTTTATACCACTTGAATTTTCAAGTGGTATAATAATTGAGTTTGCAATCATTCCTTGCACGAGCAAAATTTCCGTATCGTTTAGATTCGGGAACTTGTGGTTGCATTCCAAGGAATGGTTTGAAAACGTCGAATCATTTTTACTTAGTTTGAAGGGCCCTTCATGTTCAGCATACCGTTTTGAGAAATTTCGACCACATTGTCCGACGTGTCCCACTTAAGCTTATAAACTCCAGATTTCACCAACTTGTCCACTTCATCTTTGGCATTGGGAAAGAAATCAGATAACCTGTGTTAGAGTTACCAGAGTTACAAATAAAAGTGGTAAAAAACATAGAAAGTTTCAATTCTCATTTTTCATGATGATTTCTTACCACGTAGTAACGGCTACATCCATCAATTTATTACAAACAGATATTTTTGAATACATTGTAATACACTACGTTTTTTGGTCAGCTTTACTACATCTGATAAGATTTTGATATTTCTCAAAGGTCACAATTTGTCCATCTTTAACAACTCTTAATTCATCAGCACACACCAAAGGATTGATATGAGGGTTATGAATTTCGGCAATTTGTGTTGAAGAAGCTGTGGCTGAATCACTGCTACCACTCAAATTTTCACACCAGTATTCATTACCAGGTAAGGCATTTCCATCCCAAGCATAGGAAACAACTAATAACTTGCCTGAAAAAAAAAATCGGTTATTTTCTTAAAATATGTAGCTACAAGAAGTATTCCAAATTATATCGATTTTTATATCTAAATGAAAATTAATGAAAACACATCAAGGGGAAAAATGAGGACCGGACAATATACGTGGACTTATGTACATAAATAAGGTGTAAGTTCAAATTTCGCGGCGTACGTTCATTCGATGCGACAATGGCACATATTTTGTTGGTGCTGAAAATGCCTTTCCACAATTGGATTGGAAAATGACAACCGCTTACAGTACCACCGAGAGGATAACGTGGAAATTTAATCCTCCAACAGCTGCCTGGTGAGGTGGTTGGTGGAAGAGGTTAATCGGAATCATGAAGGATCTACTCAGAAAAGTTTTTGGATGATCCATATTTCGTCCTACATTCGATGTATTCAGTCACCGGGTAGGTGAATTTCGAATATTTAACAATCTTGAAGTTATGTGCCACTTTCGAGATGCAATACAAAAAAAATGTCCGGTATTATAGAAAAACAATTCACGTCTTTTGCATCACGATAATGCACCTGCAACACCGTAATCATGCGTCAGCCACCGTATTCACCAGATTTGGCCCTCTACGACTTTTACCTGTTCCCAAGATTAAAGAGACCCATGAAAAGGCGACTGAGGAGATAAAAACCGAATCGCTGAGAAAACCCAAGGACATACCAAAAAGAGCATATCAGAACTGCTTTGAGGATTTGAAAAAACGCTGACATAAGTCTGAGGGGGACTACTTTGAAGGGGACAAAATAGAAATTGATGAATGAATAAATATTTCTTGAGAAAAATGAAAATTCACCTTATTTTTTTAACAGACATCGTAGAAATTGGCGTCTCTGCTAAAGTTTCGCGGTAATATTTTCAGCTTTGTTTGAATGTAGGCGTTAACAACGGTATGCCAATTTCTCGAGAAATATCTGTTATTGCGTTGGTTATTTCTCAATTATTTTTTTTGGGTTTTTCAAAGAAACCAATTCACAAATTGTGAAACCACGTTATATCTTCTTAAAAATGTATTACATTACCTTCTGATACTTTTTCGTGAGGATTTCTCTTCAAAATATGGATGTTTATACCTCCTAGAGGATGGCCTTGTAATTTAAATACTTCACCATGTTTGTAATCTCCGCATTTGTCTTGATCAATATATGAAAAACAAATATCGCTCACTGAGTGTAGATTTGGGCCCAAAGCTCTGGAAATTGTTATGAATGCATTAAACTAATAAAGGTAATAGTTGAATTGAGTGCAGAAATTACTTATATCCAGGAATTGTCCTCGATATGAAAGCATGGAAACAACATGAAGATTGAGTTTGCATTCAACTTATGATAGTTGTGGGGTAGATTCTCAGGAAAGCATTAAATTTTATCAATACTATTTTACTTCATATAAAAAAGCCATTGTGGCCCATAGATTAAAACGTTCATATCAACTACTAAAATGATGAAATGAACTCAAACCTCTAGTTTTCGGGGACCATGGCATCTAGCCAATTTGAGGTAAAAGCAAACTCAATATCTGGTCTCTATAAGAAATGATAAATTCCTCAATATTGAGTCGCGAATATTGGATACTCTTGGACATTTTTCAAGTTATTATATATGTGAACATTAAAACGTAACCTAAGTAGAATCTTAAAAGCATAGAGAGCATAGTTCGAACCAAGCTAGAATTATTTCAGGATTCTGAAGTCCATTCTGAAATAACTGATATTCAGCGACAACCCAGACAGTCCTACATGAAGTCTTGATAAATAAACCAAGAAGAGCCTCGTCTCATCATCTGTATCGACGATAAAAGCCAACGTAGGTCCAGAATCTAACCAGGGTCAAGTCAAAAAATCTTATTGTTTTTTAGAAGAGATTCTACACCAGAGAGATAACTATCAACATCAGATCGAAAATTCTTCTCTTCTGAAAGAAGGACCACATTCTCCAGTACCAACAGCAATACTATTGAAAGAGGTTGGTTGCAGAAAGTATCACCTGAATTGGACTTGGAAAGAGGACAGTAGAGATAGTTCTTGCTGGTTCTCCAGGAGATTTATTACAGATAAGTCTTGCTTGGAAAATTAATTACGTGTGCTGAGGGGGTGGCATTCAATTTTCACCATATGTACCAGCTGGATGAATATAGAGTGCCACTAACTTTTCAAAATGCTTCATTTGATGGATAAGAGTGATAGTTGAAAAGCAATGACAATACTGCCTTGGTTTAATTTAAAGTTTATTAATTAAATTGTTTCTTGTATATTTTTATTGAATCAACCTTTTCTCTATTATTTTGCTCTACCTACTTTTTTAATCAATTTCACTACTTTTGTACAATTAAGTGTTTTGGAACTAGATTTCATTCTTCCATGCTTCCATGGGAAGTTTAACAAATTTCAATTGTATATACAGTATCACCATGAAAGTGCGCCCCATATGGGAAACTTTTTTTTCGAAAAGTTTCAATGAAGTTCAACTTTGGCACTTGGTTGTGCTTTAAATTTAACTTGAAATGATGCGGCCAACTGCGACCCACTGACGTTCAGTGTTTGTCAAATTCAACTTATTTTTTGAAAAAAATTGAAAAAGTACATTTCTAGATCGAATTTAACAAAAAGTTACTTGAAGAAGTTGTGTCTACGGCAATTTTATATCCATATGCCAAATTTTATGCAACTAGGATAAACCTTAACGTTTTGCTCATTTGTGACAGATATCCCTTTTATTTTAAAAAACAAGTTCGGTTAATTGTCATCAATTCATGTATACATAACAAACTCATCATGGAGTTTAACTTTTCTGATACATTTTTACTTATACGGACATTTTTAGAGAGAAATTAAAAATTTGCTATAAAAATTTTAACATGACTGGTGCAAAGTTTCAATCACTTGGCTATTTTCTTAAACAAACCTTTGATTTCGAAAAAGCAGAGGCAACTAAAAAAAATGCAAATAATCCTAGTTGCATAAAATTTGGCATATGGATATAAAATTGCCGTAGACACAACTTTTTCAAGTAACTTTTTGTTAAATTCGATCTAGAAATGCATTTTTTCAATTAAAAAAAAGTTGAATTTGACAAACACTGAACGTCAGTGGGTCGCAGTTGGCCGCATCATTTCAAGTTAAATTTAAAGCACAAACAAGTGACGAAGTTAAACTTCATTGAAACTTTTCTAAAAAAAAGTTTCCCATATGGTGCGCACTTTAATGATGACACTGTATATATTATAAAATAACAATTTCAGTACAATGAATTTTTTTACATTTCACGGAAATAGAAGTAAATTTCGAACCACTATATATTTCCTACTCTAATTATCATTCTGTGTTGCGCTTGTACATGTTTCATAATCATTCTATTTTTGAGAGATGTTAAAACACTGCATATTCTTGCAAGTGTGTTTGATTCAAGTCAATCAAGATTAGCATTATTTTTTTATTTTGAGTGTTTGAAAACCTGAAAAGATATGGTTTCACATATTAAAAATCTGGGACCAATGTTTAATAAAAATAACAATAACAATAATAATAAAATAATTATAGTTTTCATTCATTGTCCTGAAATACAACAGAAATATATGTCAAGATACAAAAATTACAACATAATAAGTAAGTGTCGATAAAATAAAGGTGAAGTATCATCTTACGCTGCTTTACAACTTAACCTTAAAAATGAAGAATGAGAAAATCATAATTGTAATTTATGCAATATACGGTAGGTAATAAAAAATGAATTAAAAGGGATACTAATCATCATAAGATTTTCAACTTCTTCTTGAAGTTATATAACGAGAAGATCCAAAATTCTCTAGGAAGATTATTATAAAATTTCATTTTAGTAGATAGGAATCACACGTCAAAAGGTAAGACCTCGTAAGTCTTTAGGTCGCACAAGTTTCGACTTCTGAGGGGTGCGACAGCTGGTTAGCGAAGACATATATTTCAAACATATTTTAAACAGATGACAGGATATAATTGTCTTGATGGGATTTTCTCAAATGGAAAATTCTGATTTGAATTTATGGTCTTTTAAATGTGCGTTTTCATGAAGTGTTTGAAAGAAGATATTATCCGAAAGCTTATATATAGCTTCAATCATATTAATCATCTAGAAATGTTATATTTGGTGACAGCGGCGGTTCTGGCGATTTTCTCAGTTTCTAAGTGTATACGGTTTTACCTTGAAGTAAAAAATTACCTGAGGACCGTTAAATACAAACAAAAGGAACAAAAACTGAACGTGAAAACAAAAAAGGGAAATGTGAAAAGTTGTTCCAGCACTTTCGATGGCAACATGACCAACAAATGAAAACACAATGAAACAATTCTCGAAAATTGTATGTCATGATCAAACCAAAGACAAATCAACTTCCACAAAAAACTATCATAGCAGCTGAGGGAGTCCAAGTTGAAGCCCAGAAAGTTACTGAAAGGACTAGAGAGTTGGAAAGAGAGTAATCCAAGTTAAATGACCAGGTGAAATACAAGGTAAATAGTGAACTGAACACATAACTACTACGAGTTCGATAGAGGCTCAAATAAATGAACATTCGACAAACACAGGCCCATTTACCGAAAAAAGTTTTTGTTGAGACAACAAAATTTATTGATAGGAGTAATTTCTTCAATCATTGACTATCAATTTGCTGATGTCAGATTGAAGGATTTCCGTTTTAATAATGGAAAACAGTTCGTAAAAGTCATGGAAAAGCAAAATCTGGAACAGGCCGATCATGGTCAACTAAGGAATCAGGAAATTAGTCAAGAATCACAAAGAAATCATACAGAAATAGATTAATTTTCAAAAAATGGTTTGAAACAGGTGCCTTGCATACTTTAGTTAAACAACGTGATTTCAGGAAAATAAGAAATTAAGCGAGAATAACTTTTTGGATTGGGAAGCAATTGATTCGAATGACATGCTTTTGGGATACCTCAACAAAAAAATAAAAAAAGTGATTATCTGATCTCAGGAGAGAAGATACGAAATGTTTAGAAAATATTTCGAAAACTATTTTTTTTGTTCAATAACATGTATAATTTTGCTATGATTGCGTTAGCAGAGGGTGTTATTGAAATGGTTTGAAAAGTAAATGATTTTATTCAAAAATATTCAACAGTAGATGCTATTTGTCCTTCGTGTGAAGGAAATTGATGATATTATCGTAAGGATATCTTGGACTTTAAAGTTTATTTTTGCTTACTTTGAGAAACTCCCATTTGCATTGAGATTTGTAATGTTTTCTAAGTGAACGGTCAATGATTTTTCAAACCAGCCTAGCACAACAGATCTACATTTGTGACATGTTTTCTCATTAATTTGAAAACTCTATTGAAAATCAATTATAATTTCTGACATAGAATACTGCTAAACGTATTTTTTTAACCACACTGATCGGGCGGTAATCAATTTTTTGGCGTGAGTGGATAGTTTAACTTGTTGAATTAACTAATACTGTGATTGCGGGATAGATCCCTAATTCTCGGATAATTAGAATTTCACTCGTTTCGTCCAACCCGTGCTGTATAAATCATACGTAGAAAGGTAAGTTCTAGTTTAATATTTATCTCGCATACATTTTGACATTTATAGGTTTCCGTTTATATGGGGACAACATCTGTGATTAAGTAACTATTTTACTTCTCAAGCGGGGAATATCTTTAATGACATTATTTGGGGTACAATCGGGTGATATATTTTGAATTTAATGTATGGATATTGTTGTATGCGTTGGGCAAATATTCTCAGCCAAAAAATATGTGCACTTACAAAATTCTTTTAGCGAAAGTTTCCATATACACTTCTTCCTGGTGTGACGATATTTTCCAAACACCTAGTCCTAACCCCACAACATGAATGTAAGCAGTTTTATCCGCAGACTTAGCCCTATAATTCGCCTCTACCAATGAAGTGTCGATGGAAATAGTAAGTCTTTTATAGTAATAGTGATTGTCGAAAAGCAAATCATTCATTAAATTCCTGTATCTTTCATTGTCACTGTTTTTGAGTTCTAATGCTTCTTCATAATCCATACAAGTTTCTTCATAGAACTCAGAAAATAGTTTGTGCACGCTGGCATTGATTTTAGTACCATAACCATTCACATTTGTATTTTGTGCTTCACTAAAAACAATTTCTTGATATTCCATTACGTTTCTTTTCTTCAATCTTGGACCAATCAGGCCAATTATTATGCCTTCTCTCGCAATGTCTTCCCTATTTTCCAAATGTTTACCAAAATTTGCTCTCTCCCCTAAATTCACGAAATAGGTGTAAGAACTGACAGACAAAAACACTGACAATTTCATTTCATCGTACGTTAAACATTTTTTCATAATCAATGGAGAGAATTCTTTCAAATCAACTGATATGATTTCAGAATAATTTGAGGATATGATCTTTCTCACCAACATAAGTAACATATTTTCAATGATTCGCCATAAATGCCGATAGGGAGGATTGAGCAAAGTTCCCATCCACTCACTGTACTTAAAAGAGGTCTGTGCACTGTACTTTTCCATAGTAAATTATCATCGGCTGAAAGGTACGAGTTACTTTTGCGACTAGATACGGTCAGAAGTATTCAAGCAGTATGTCGACTCCCAATATTAACCATGATGAGCAAATAATCTGAATCAGTCTACGACATATTATTACTATCAAGATTCTATTCGCAGATAAAGGAAGAAGCACTGTCTTAATGCAAAGAAAGGATACGTCAAAAAGATTGAAACGTTTTATATATGAATAAATGAATAGTAAAAATTACAAGCATTCATTTACAAGCACTAGGTCAAAGTGAGTGGGTGCTAAAAAGAAGAAAATAAACTTCAAATTACAACCATCATTTTATTACATTACGCAATGGAAGTGTCCCACAATTTTTTGATATAAAGATAGGAAAGTGAAAGCCAAAAAGCTTTTTTCTCAAAAACAGATCTTCCACGAATAATACCCTTTTCGCTGGGATTAAATCAAATAAGCGTATGAATGAATGTCTTTACGTCATTCTGACATTCAAGACAAAGTCGTAATGTTATGGATGACCTGAGTGCTACCGTCTTGTAATATTATCCATATAGGTGCTGATGAGGTCTTATTGAGGTCTCAATCCGAAACGAAGTCCGTCATTGAAGATGACAATGTTCCGTGTAAGTTAAATTTTATATAACTCTTCCATATACCTACTACATTGTGTAGTGTTTCTTATGATTAACGTTGATTCGATTTATTTATTTATTTTTGTCCCTGTTTTGTAAACGTAAAACATTTTCCGAATGTATTATTATTTTCTATCGGATATGTACTGTATTTGGAGCAGGTAGGTTAGGTTAGGTAACGTCCAAAGTGAGTCGGTCTATTCGAATCTCCATCGCAACCCACAAGGTTTTATTGTGGCTCATACCTATGCACACTCGACCAAATAAACCCTGCTTCTTAACGAAGCCGATTAGTTTGTATGGTGAGTGGTCTTGCAGGTCAGATAGTAAGGGTACGGCACTGCCGAACTCTAAAAACTTGATTCGGTCACCAGCGGGGCAGGCACAAAGTATATGCTCTGCTGTTTCATCATTTTCCAGAGGCGATACACACTGTCTTCCGACAGTCCGAGTCTCTGCATATGATGATTCAAATGACAGTGACCTGTAAGAAGGTCTGCTAGACATCGTAGTTCATCCCTACTGTAGTCCAACAACTGTTTGGTATCAAGTTTCGAAGGGTGAATAAACGCCTTGGAGTGAGCCAATCCCGGAAGATTCTGTCAGAAGTCCATAAATCTTCTTGCTATCCAGGTGTTCAATGTTTGGCAAAGCCTAAAGCGATGCCAATGACAGGTTCTGGTCCGATGAAGTTGCTTGCAGCACCCTCAGGAAGTCAGCAGCCTCATTGCCATCTACGCCAATATTGTCAGGAATCCAGACCAGAAACAATCTGTCAAGTCTTGCTATCGAGGAGAGTCGTTTTTGGCAATTTGCTACCAATTTAGACGTTGCTCGGTAGCAGCCAAGAACTTCCAACGTCGTATGACTGTCCGAGAATATTTTTATTGACTTGTGAGTGAGGTTGGATTTATCCAGTCTCTCCGCACACAATTCAATAGCGTAAATTTTCGCTTGAAATACAGTCGCATAGGTTCCTAGGCAGGTTGATATCTCTGTCCTGGGTCTGCGACTGAAAACACCTACACCAGAACCGGAAGGTGTTTTTGATCCATCTGTGAACCAACAACTATCTGCTCTTAATATTTCCTTCTCCCGGAGGATCCAGTCGAGAACAGTACTTTTTAAGGCTCTTCGTAGTTGACAGAATGCATTGACTTTCAACGTCAACCAACAGTCTGTTGCACTCTGCATAAAATTGATTTGTGCAATTGGGAATGTGCACCAGTCTATATCCAGTCCATCTAGCCTCTCTCTCCAGAAAAATGTGGAGGAGAGGTGGATCTAAAAGGATATCCATGGCCGCTGATGGTGTGGTACTGGTGGCACCATTGATGGCCAGACAAGCCTGTCTCTGTAAACCAGAGAGTTTCGCCCGAGTCGTTTTCTGTAAAGCCTCCCGCCACCAGGCAGTTGCACCATAAGTGATCATTGGTCTGAGAATCATCATATAAATCCAATGGATTTGTTTGGGACCTAAACCCCAAGTTTTACCACAAATCCTTCGACATGTCCATAGGGACAGTCTGGCTTTATGTAAACCTTTTTCCAAACATAGTAATTTTTCTCAGTGTGCGAAGCATGATTTTACTCAATATATGATTTCACTCAGCATATGATTTCAAGGTTACTAAAATTTGCCCCCTCAACATCAAAGGTGCCGACTTTACTTTCGTTTCTGTGTAGTTTTCAGTACTTGAGGATAGAAATGAGCGCCATTAGCAACATTTCAATAAAGTGAAAGTATTTATAAATTCTACTATTGAGATTAATTTTCTACCGCTCCCATGAATATATGCATGTACTTACCTCCAGGAATTCAAGACAATAATTTTCTATCTACTTACCATATCGTTAACTAAAGAACTGAAATGTAGTTTTCACGCACTCTTTTCATTACATATAGAACAAAATATAAAAATGGACGAAATCGAGGTTAACGGTGCATTTTCTACATTTCATTTAATAATAGCTCAGTCAGCATTCTCAGATCCCACATTAATGTGGTAGGACTATATCGTTTATGATTCTAATCTCTGGTTTTGTTTCATGGTAGGAGCACAGTAGAATAATATAACCAGTAGGCACACTTACCACGTGATCCGCCCGAGTTGCCGGGGACCTCGCTCTTAGGATGAGATTCTCATTCAACGCGTTCAGTGCTGTAGTATCGAAGGATTCGACGGTTAACGGATTAGTTGTAAGGTCAGAAATTGATATTGTATTTAGTTTATTCGCTGTTGTTATTATTGTTTTCAGTTTTTGTAGTTGGTCGAGCAAGTAAGACGCTACATGGAATCGATAAAAAAACTACGTTCATCAAGGATAAATGAGAGTCCCTACGGCATGGTCTATTAGGCATATCTAGATAACAAAAAAAATGAGAGTTTCAAATATTGGTTACCGATGTAGATGGCTGTGATCTGTGATCTATCGTTTGAAAATATTTTCATCACCACATTGTTGCCACATCTAAATGTAACAGACATCAACTTGGAAATTTCAAATGGAACACCCTATATATTATATCATTTTTGAATTCTGCATCGAAATCCAAATTACTTTTGTGAACAATATATTATACCTATCTCTCAACGTTTCTAGAATATTAATTATTTTGTAATTTTTTTTGTCGAAAACATGGTATTTACAATATTTGATATCGCATGAATTAACTAATACACCGAACTCAAATTCTGGCAACATTGAGATAAGATATGGTGGTCGTTATTTCAGAACGAAACTCAAATCTTATTTTATATAGAATGTCTGAAAAATACGTCTCAATTTGACCTACGGACAAGAAACCCCTGCCATTTTTTATTGTGGTTAATGGTGTGAGATATCGGGAATATATCTAAAAGTACTGGTACTCTTCCTGTAGACATCAAACTCTAGACTCTGGTTACTTCACTGTTACTGTGACTAGGACATGTAAAAATTAGAACTTTAAATTCGGGAATCTGTTCTTAAAAGTCTTAATGATAAAAATCGCAAATACATCGACTACATATTGGATCCAAGTCTGTAGAAAGTAATCCAACTCCTGGTGCTTCCAGCTCGAATCTGCTCATAGCTGATAACATATGAAATTGAAAACAACAAAGAGTTACCATTCTTGATGATTAGGTGTAACCAGACTCTAGAATTTTTGCCTTCAGAAAGAATACACAAAAAAGGAGGAAGAATACTTTCTTGTCCATAGGCTCATTACATTCCCCTTAAGTAATTCACAAAATATTGTAGGTATCCGAAAAAATGCATTTCGAAAACTAACCACCAAAATGCTGGCATGTCATCGATAATTTCTTACCTATATTAGATTTATCAAACACTCAGTTGAATAGAATTTTGTTCAATAAACTGGAATGAACGAATACAAATTTGTCATGTTATTTTTAGAAAACAAATTGGAGTAATCAAAACAGATAATTTTATCAATGATAATTTTTCAGTAAAAATTCCATCAAAGTGATATTTACCGACTATCAGACAATGACACTTTATAAACCCATTTAGGCAATTACCAAACACGCAATATTTTGTACTTTTCCAGTAATAAGTAAGTAAATGAAATGGCTCACCTATGTCTTCAACCGGAAAATAAATAATATAGGATCTGAACAAGTTCGAACTTCTTTCAATAATCATGTTTGGAAAACCCGTATGATTCATTGTTTTGTTCGAGGCAAAACATACTTTCTAGTTTTTATAAAGTATTGAATGATGGCCTGCCATCTACCCACTAGTGGCTAAATCAAGCAAAAATAAATTCTGTTCTATTTGGATTCATTTAGAAAACTGTTAATTATTGTCTTTTTTGCCTTGATCTTTTTAAATGGAGATTTTTGTTTTGTTAGTTCAAAACCGTTTTCTGAAAATAGTTCAAACTGCATTTAGCTTTTTTACTGTAACTCCAACATATTAGGAAGTTATCGTTCAACTCGAGTCAGAGGTGATGCTGTTTGCGAGTACTAAGTCAAAGGGAACTCGAATCTCAACATAGGAGGAAAGACTCCGGGTGCATTTCACCGGGCCAGAAATTATAAGTCCAACACCGGAGTCTCGGGCAAATTCAGAACTGGAGGAGCGTCTAGGCGGCATTGACTGTTGCAAAGTAAAATGGTAGATTTGGTAAATAGGCCATAAACTGTATTCAAAGTAAGTTTTGCTCTGGTATACATTTCTGAAATGAAAAGACTGATAGGGGCTTCCATTCCCAATTCTGGTAATGTATTGGGGTACAATCAGTCTCATAGAAAAAGTTACTTAATAGGCATATTGCAATATGGGGACTTATAACTGGATAAACTACATCGAATCCAATATGCTTCAATTAAATATTGAGGACGCGATAATGAGAGCACCGCCTGACTCGTCCATTTTTTTCCAAGTCTACGGAAAACACTGCAGCCTCATGTCATCTTTTTCATGACATCCATTCCAATAATGTAGTGCACTGTATTAGTTTGTATAGGTCCCTTGCTAGATACATGTCATATTTTTCTGGACATAATTTAGATTGTGCATGAATTGTTTGCCTCCTGGTTTCCAATGCCTCACATACGCATACGTGCTGTCTCTATCTCTTTATTGCATTGCCTGCAGTGAAGGTCTCTGTTATACAGGCCTATTTTGTACAGGTATCCTTTTGATGAACAATATCCAGTTAGTAGCCCTGAAATTGTCCTGAGTCCCTTTATGAAGACTTTCCCGTGTGTGTTTAAGGGTATGTTTTTTCAAATGTTTATTATGGGCCCACTTTCATTAGCTTTTTTGTTACCTGCGATTCCCGAGAATCCTGGCACCCAGTTTATAGTTAATCTATTCCTGGTCGCCATTCTTTAAGGCTTTCCAGATCAGTTTCGATCTCACTTTGGGGATCGTCAGTGCTCCAAGTTCAGTCTCACTGTATGTGTCAATATTGATCCATTAATTTCGTTAATGATTCAAATTAATGTTCCTTGCGCATTGCAAGATTGCATACATCTGACCCAGTGGGTAACTGAAATGAATATTTTTTCCCGCACAGTAAATTCCAGCTCCTGTTCCATGTTCGGTTTTCTACCCGTTTGTATACTAGGTCTTTCTACCAAGCATGTTCGCAGGATGACTGTACCTTCTCAACTTTTCGCGGATCAAGACCGCAAATTGTATAACGAACATTTATTTTAGTATCATGGAAGTCGGTGAGTTTTTCAGTCTGAATTGGCCCACCCTTGCTTTCCCTGATATCACTTAATGTAAAGGAGGAAGATTCAAGAGTGTCTTCAATGCAGTAGAAGTGATTTTCATTGCTCTCGTTATTTTCAAACATGCACGTCTTTGCACTCTGCTTAGTTTGTTCATAGTGGTCGTTTGTTTCATATTTTGCCATCAGACTATATATGCATATGTTATCATGGGTTCAACCACCATGGTGTGGAGCCAATACGTCATATCTGGCTAAAGCCTCCATGTCTACGCACCTACGAAAATGTGCCAGAATTAGTGCTACCTTCGCCTTTATTTTAACTCTTTTTATATGTTGGTTCCAGGTCAATCCGGAATCTAGTATCACTCCCAGATGTTTGACCACCCCCGATAGATTTTACTCTCCACCTCAAAATTTAAAAAGACCTTTACCTTGTTCCTTTTGGTGAATGCTACTATGTTGAACCCTTCTTCATCGGTCCATTTAGGTATATTATTCAGGGCCTGCTGCTTGCGTCCCTTCACTGTATTGTTATATTTGCCCTGGACTAGGATGACAATGTCATATGCATAGTCCAGAACTGTGTGTCATTCATTATGTCCAGAAGATGTAGTAACTCGTCCATTACAAGGTTCCATAACAGTGGGTAGAACCCCCTAATCATCTGAGGACAACTCCTTGCTACCCGTGCCACTACTGTCTCTCCCAATACCAGTCTTCCTCTAGCTTGTGTGATTGATCACTCTTCTTTTCGACGCCTTGGTGATTGATTTTAGGAACGTATCACCAAATGTTATCTATATCCAAGAAAGCAGTTTAAAGCAATTCTTCGTTCTTGTTAACATATTCTGCTTTTTCCATGATCCGTCGTAAATCCGTTTCTGTCGACATACCCGATCTGTAGGCATAATGGTCTCGATTCAGTGATCTGGAAGCCAGTGCTTCATCCTCAATATGCCTGTCAAGTAGTTTTTCTGTCTTTAATGTAAAAGGTATGAGACTGATAGGTCTCAATGTTTTTGGTATACAACGGGTGACTTTTTAAGAGGATTTGATTTTCGAAACAATCGATAGAACGATCAATATAATTTAATGTTTGAAAATGATTTCATGCAAATGTTGTCCGCGGATCCGCTTTAGATGGCCCATACGCATGGTCCAATTTTGGCACATTCTCTCTAACATATCGACTGGTATTTCACGTATAAAAGCTCCAGAGCGTCTGTCGTTGCTGGTTTATCCCTGTAGATATGAGCCTTAACATAACCCCCACAGGAAATAATCCAAATGCGTTAAGTCACACGATCTAGGCGGCCATCTGACGGAACCAAACGTGAGATAAACTGTTCACCTAAGGCGGCTCTTAATTGGGTCATTTTTCGCATGCCCTGTGACACGTGGCACCGTCTTGTTGAAACCAAATGTCAGGCTTGTCCAATTCTTCCATTTTGGGCAACAAAAAGTCATCAATCATTCCACGGTAGCATTCGTCATTCACAGTAACGTTCCGGCCATTGTTGTCTTTGAAGAAGTACGGCCTGATGATGCCACCGACCTATAATCTACAGCAAACAGTGACTTTTTCGGGAGGCATCGGTAGCTCTTGCAATGCTTGTGGCTGGTCTTCACTCCAGATGCGGCAATTTTGCTTGTTAACGTATCCATTCAACCAGAAATGAGCCTCGTCGCAGAACTTTTTCCTTCCTTCCTTCAACTTTCCAGCGCCCATTCACCAAATGTTAGACGTTGTGGGAGGTCATATGGCTGTATGGCTGTATCTTATAAGGTTTTACACCTAAATCCTTTCGCAAAATTTTCCACGTAGTGGAGTAACAGAGGCCTAATTGCTGCGAACGGCGGCGAATCGACATTTCACGGTCATCACGAACACTGGCGGATACAGCCGCAATATTTTCTTCGGTCCTCACTCTACGTCTGCTTGTTGGTGGTTTAATATCCAATAATGTAAACTGGGTTCGAAATTTAGTCACAAGCTTCCTAATAGCTCCCTCAGTAGGCCGACGAAAGTACCCATAAATTGGAAGAAGTGCACGATGCACTTTTTTCACCGAGCATGAATTTTGATAATAAAATTCAATAATTTGCAAGCGTTGTTCATTCGTAAGTCGATTCATGGTTAAATTATAGACCAAACTGAAGTTTGACAATGACACAAGACACGATTTACGCGTAATCTGTCAAAAACAGTGTTGCCAAAAAGATACCAGCAAAAAAATCACTCATTATCTCAGAGCCAAACTTGTTCTCAAGATTTTACACAATTTTCAAAGTATTTTTATTGGGTAAATGCCATCTGGTCCCGGTGACTTGATTGAAATGAGTTTATGATGGCCCATTTAATCTTTTCCAATTCTATTTTCTTTGCCACCAACCAATCTTTCCTGAATGTTTTTTAGGAGCATTCTTTTGTGAATTTATCCAGGACTCCGATATTAGATTTATAATTGAGACTTGAGGTTCCTTAGAGAGTATCTTATAAAGTCTGGCACATACTTGGGTCTACTATAGGAATCTAGACTTTGACGGCTGGCGTCAATGTTTTGGTTGGTTTCCGGGTTATTGCCGTGGTATTCTTTGGTTGTAATGTCCAAACGTTTCAAAAACGTTCAAAACGTTGCAGAAGCAATGAGATTCCTACAATTAAAATCATAAGGAAGAAATTGAATACTACCTGCTATAACGTGAGCTGATGTGACAAAACTCAGAATTGGATAAAGAAACTAGGATTTAGATTTAAAATAATGAACAAACGTCAAGAAGTTATAGAAAGCAGAAGAATAGTGGAATTGCGTAACAAATACTTAGAACAAATAACTAAATATAGACAAGAACAACGGCAAATTTTCTATTTGGACGAAACTTGGTATGACACTCACGACACAGTTACGAAAGGGTGGACTGATGGTTCGAGAATGTGTACGCCTGCACTGTACCTGCAAACAAAGAATCGCGACTAATCATTGTGCATTGTGGAGGAAGTAAAGGATGGGTTCCAAATTCTTTGAAATTATGTGGAGAAAAACTCAAGGACTGCAATGTTGACTATGATACTACATTCATACTAACATACTAGGTATACATTTTTTTAATGAATGAAAATTTGTATTTGGAAGATTGCTATACCAAAAACCAACTACTTGAAGTTTCATAGGCAAAAATATTTGAAAAAGTGTAGGCCCTTGAAAGTATTGCTGAAAAATATGGACACACCATACTGAGAGTCCCCCCCTATTTTTATGTTTTCAATCCCATCGAGTTGATTTGGGGAAAATTAAAACAAAGCATGAGGCGTAAAAATAATTTTCCAAAATTTGATAAGAAGGTAATAGAGCTAGTTAAAGATGAAGTACCTATCTAATATTTTTGAAGAAGACTGGCAGAAAAGGATTAAAAAAGTAATTTCAGTTGAAAAAGACTATATGGAGATTGGACACTTCCAAATTAATGGTGGAAATAAATTCGTAATTGATTTAAATGACAACAGTGATAGTGAAACAGGGAATATGGAAGAGGAATTATCAAAAGCTTTCGAAAAAAGTTAGTGAAATGTTTTTGAAGCGATCGACTGTATATACACACATCGGAAAAGTCTAGGGATATTTTTAAAAATGGCAATAATTTTTTTTAGATCGCTTCAGGGAAAAAAAGTTGACGGGTGATTATTAAACGAATGTAACTCACAACAAAATTTATTAAATGGTCAAAAATACTGAGTGCGCATATAAGCAAAACTAAAAAAAAATATGGCTCTTCTTTGGCACCCCG